CTGATGTTGGGAAGCACAGGTTTCATTTGTCTTCAAAAAAGGAGAAATAGCCCTGATTGAGACTGGTTAATGCAACTGAAGGAAGTGCGCTTGTCAAGTACATAGTTGCCACAGATAACAGGACTTGAAGGCCAGACTTTCATTAAATTGGTGATTGATAACTTACATAGTCAAGTGGTGCATGTCATGTAGAGATTTTTTTTCAGGAAAAATATTTGAGGAGAATTTGGAATATCACAAAAGGAGAGAAAGGGAGCACCAAGTATAAGATGTGATGTAGAACCCTGGGTAATGGTGGCAGAAATAACAATGAGCCTGTGAGAAGCTCAAGAGGTGTGAAAGCAAGAAGAGGGAGAATATGAAAAGGGAAGATAAAAGGCAGTGTGGAATGAAGCTCTAAAGTGAAGATGAAGATGAGTACCTGTGATACAGAGAAGATATTCTTGTGTAAAGAATACCTTAATGTTTGTATCATGGTAGTAACTGAGCATATCTTTTGGATTTATTTACATTTCTTCATTGCTCTAGAATTATATGCACAATGTAACATCAATATTATTCCTGCTTTTAGGGTTTGACAGGAAATCCAGGTGTTCAAGGCCCTGAAGGGAAACTTGGCCCCTTGGTAAGTGACACAAAAATTAGTCCTTTCAGTATGGAAACAGGAATTCAAAAGTCCCAACTCGCTGATATTACTTTTATTAACTTGAATTTTCTTGATTTCTGAAGGTTCATCTTCTAAGTGTTCACTTTAGATTCCTGACTCCAAAATTAGTGCAGATAACATTCCTTTAGTTTTGGCTGTGTAGCAGTGACTGTTGTTTAGCAGGTGCTGCAGTATTTTTAAACCATTTTGTACTAAATATCTTTTCTCAATGTCTCTTTAAGGAAACAATAAAGTATTTGTACATAATGGCTCAGTGATGGTAATTGCATAGTATTTGGTTAAATCCAACAGTATGACTAAAGCTATGTCTGCTTTAAAGGCATTTTGACTGATAACTGTAGCAGCAAACCAGGTTAATGTTATTTTTTATATATACAAACATTTTCCAGGGGTAAATAGGTTCATATGACTAAAATAGATTTATAATTTAATGTGGAAAATGCTTTTTCCTTTGTAGGGTGCTCCTGGAGAAGATGGACGTCCAGGTCCAGCAGGTTCAATAGGAATCAGGGGTCAGCCAGGCAGCATGGGCCTTCCTGGGCCGAAGGGTAGTAGTGTGAGTATGACACCTGGTAGCCAACATCTGTTTAACTTTAAACATGTGCATGTATTTTAATTGATGGAAACAGTATCTAAAAATAGTCATTTTTATTTCTGCAAATTAGGGTGATCCTGGAAAACCCGGAGAAGCAGGCAATGCAGGTGTCCCAGGACAGAGAGTGAGTGTGACTATTATTTGCAGTGATTACAGAAAATGATGCTTTTCTGTTCTATATGTTCACTATACAAGACTTCTTCCTCTGTCATTTTCATTTAGGGAGCCCCTGGTAAAGATGGTGAAGTTGGTCCTTCTGGTCCTGTTGGCCCACCAGTAAGTCAAGTTTTACCACTCTGCCTACCTGCCCATCACTCCATCCATTCATTACTCTCTGCTTCTATTTTTATCTATGTTCATGCCAGTGGTTGATTCCAAACAAAAAAATTCGAAGAACATTTAAAGAAAACATTTTCCTAGAAAAATAGGAAGCTTTGTATTGAAAAATATATATATACACACACACATATATAAGTAATCTAATTCCTTTTACTGACCATTACAAAAAGTACTGCAAGGAGCAAAATTTTCTCATGGTTCGTTTTACTAGCTTCCTTGTTTTCAGTGGAACTGCGTGTTTTCCTGTCAGCACAGATATTTTTTTTGGGGGGTGGATCTTAAAGAAATAAGATACATCTTATTACATCTTTTAGATAGGGTATATCTTGGCCTGGGGTAAGTAAAGATGTGTAATAAACAAATACATAATTGAAAATATACATATTCAGAGAGAAGAAAAATTGTGGAGCCTGCCTATATTCCTCTGCTGTATACTTACTACTTTCTTTTGTGTAGGGTCTGGCAGGAGAAAGAGGAGAACAAGGCCCTCCAGGTCCTACAGGGTTTCAGGTATATGCATTCTTTTTTTGTTTAAAGAAAAAAATAAACAGCCATGTCTTTATCAGCTTATATTGGAGAAATTCAATTAAGTAATGTTTAACAAAACACAACTTCAGAATTAAGGCAGTGATGCTCGGAATAATTGGTGGTACTTAGCTTTCACATCAGCTGTGCACTAAACTGAACTGACAAAAGCTTAAATACCAGCTCTGTATCCCTTGAGAAAACCTTTGTTGTTTTTCAGTTTTAATCTGGAGATTTTCCAAAGATGTTCCAAATATGGAGTAAAAGAATTGTTTTGATAATGAAGTATTAATTAAGTTAAATCAATCTCTGTTTATAGAGAACTTTATTTTTAGGGCTGATATGCGTATGTCCTACAAATGTTAAAGGGCTGCCATTTCATTTAGAGTGGGGAAAACACTCTGGTGCAATATTCATGTAACTATTTTGCTTGGGGATCTCTGAAGGCATACTTTTGTACTGAGTATAATACTATATACATATTCTTGGTGTCTTAATTAAATCTGGATTTACATAACTTTCATGTTAGTGACCATTTTATTTACTTTTTTACAGGGCTTGCCTGGGCCACCAGGTCCTCCAGGTGAGGGAGGAAAGCCAGGGGATCAGGTAATTTCTGTGTAATTTAACAAGAATTCACTTTATAAAGTAGTTTTTCCTTTTCTTCTCTTTGTATTTTAATTTCCCACTCTGTTTCAAACTATGTACTGGTGTAGTCTGCAAGCTGTCTGAGAACTGCTTTTGGATAAAACACTTACTAGAATCTGACCATCTTTTTGGTCTGATTTGGACTATCTCCTCTTGTCATAGACAGATAATATTCAGAACTATCCATCTGCATTCATAGTACTTTGGAAATGAAAATGTTTGTCTCTAATTTCCATAACAATAAGGCTATGAATAATGTTCTCATGCTAATGGTGACTTCTGTTCTGCTTAGGGTGTGCCTGGAGATCCTGGAGCTGTTGGTCCGTTGGGTCCTAGGGTAAATATTTTCTTTCAGAGTTTAAACATTCATAACAGTTCTCTGAGGTTGAAAGTTAATATATAATATGGACTTTAACAGCTAAAGTGAATATTTGATTTTTTCCCCACCAATAAAATGGTTGTAAACATGGATACATTTTAAGATGGTTTCTGTAAAACCTACTACCTTTAATGGTTTCATAGCTCATGAAGTGGTGTTGAGTACTAGCTGCTAAGTGATTTGATTTACAGCTGTGAAATGACAGTTTTTGGTTTGCTGAGCAACATGCTATTTCCTCTTCCTTTAACAATAAAAGCATAAAGCTGTTTTTTATTTGATCAGTTATCCTAGAATTTGTTCACATGCTCTTTGTTCAAATAGCAGTGCTGCACTTACTGTGTATTTAGGATTTCGCCTATCAGGACTGTACCTTGACTTCTAAATAAATAATAATTGTCCATTTTGTAGGGAGAACGTGGCAATCCAGGGGAAAGGGGAGAACCAGGTGCATCAGGACTCCAGGGTGAAAAGGGTATGGCTGGAGGTCATGGGCCTGATGGTCCAAAGGTAAGCTGAATGGAGGTTTGTGTTGCTACAGTGATGTAATATATAATTCTGCTCATTTGCGTGAACATAAGAGAGAGACCTTTTTATTATAAACGGGATATGTTTTCATGAAATATATGTTTATATAAGGGTTCTAGGAGGATGTACAAGTTATTCAAGTATAACAATATTAGTAATTTGCAAGATACTAAAATGTTGAGAAATCACATTTTATATTAATTTATATAGGTCTGAATTTTAAAATATTTGTTGTGTTTCTCAGTAGAACAGGGCAAAGCCGTTTCTGAACTGCAGAAAACCCTCTGGCAATGCCTCCATTTTAAACTATGTCAGTTTACACAAAGAGACTTGGCAGGGTTGAGTGTTTAAAAGATAATACTGAAAACTGCATGCCTTTCTTCACCTGCAATTGATATAATTGGGCCTGGGAAGGTCACCTCAGGTAGGGAGTGCCTCTAGTAATGCAGGACCTGTAATGGACATAAGCTATGAGAAGCAAAGCATAAATAAAGCATCTCTGCCGCTGGCAACTTCTGCATGTAGCTACTTTGTAATAGACCCATGTGGCATCAAGGTCAAGTTAGAAAGATGCTTGAGCTTCTTTTTTTTTGCCGGTTCTCATCCTCATTATGCACTGAATAAATACTAATGTATTTGGAAGGACTATGGTATTACAACTGAACTTCTTGAGTAACACAATGGGAAAAGAACAGTATTTGGACATGAATAAAGTCCAAATTTAAGACAAAATTAGTACTTAAAACTGTACCCCAGAGAGTTCAACACAAGCACAGTGTGTTCTGCAGCCTAGAGACAAAGATACTTTTGAGATGAATAGACAACAATTTGTTCTTTATTTGTTTCAGGGAAGCCCAGGTCCTAGTGGGACGCCTGGTGATCCAGGCCCACCAGGTCTTCAAGGTATGCCTGGAGAAAGAGGAATTGCTGGAACACCTGGCCCCAAGGGTGATAGAGTAAGTCTGGTTATTTCTGTTGTGTTGAGTAGAATCACCTGACGCTTAATACTGCAGTTGTTCCAGGGTATGAAGTGCTCAGCATTCAGTGTTATGATTGAGACTTTCTGGGTCTTTTCCATAGGGTGGCATAGGTGAGAAAGGTGCTGAAGGTACAGCTGGTAACGATGGCGCAAGAGTAAGTAAATCTATCGCTCTTTTTACACCTACTGTCCACACAGCAGATTGTTTATTGTGCCAGAGGTTCTCAGCTCATAGAGTTAGACACTACTGAACTTGGTGATATTCATGGGTTGACAGTCATCCTCATTCCCCCTACCCTTCAAATTTGGTCTTGAAGTTTTTCAAGACTGCTGTACACAACGTTTTAGGACGTCTGTGTTCCAAGCCTGTGTTTTGTATAATCAATAATGGGAGTTAAGAAAAAAATGGGAGTCAATGGAAAGGAATCCCAGAGGTAGCATGTTCTTTTGGGATTCAGCTAAGCTGACTATAATAAAAATATGAAAAAAGGGAGAGGCAGAGATCAATAGCCAAAAAGCAAAGCCACCAGTTCTGGACTAAGGCAGATGCCTCCTTATTGTTTGGATTGAGCTGCCCACGGTCTGTCCTGAATTTCACAGGTGAAAATTCCTGTTAATGTACTGAGCCCCATATGGGCAGTAAGTTGCTGACACTTCAGAAAAGCTTTGAACCTCATGTGCATAAACAACATGGCTGATCTGCTCACATGCAATAAATCCAACATGTTCAAGACATGTTGCATGCATACTTCTACATAGACCAGCTGTCCAATAATCTCAAATGTACTGGGTTTGCTGTATATGCACTGACTATATTTTCTTCCCAAAAGCTATTTGAATTAGTTTTTACTTAAATCATATCTGTCTGAGATTCTTGGGTTTTGCAAACTGGTTGGAGTACTAACTGACAGGCATTTGGAAATCTGAAATACGTACAAAAGATGAGGATTCTGACTGGACTAAATTTCTAGTTAAAGAGGAGGTTTTTTGAGAAACCCTAGCATACAGAAGCACTTAAAATTAGCAGCTGTGAGCTGGAATTTGTAAATCAGATAGTATCTAAAGATACAGAACAGTTCTTAGTCATTGTAAGGCAAGTTTATATTTTACAGTAACTAATAAAGTAATGAACTAAATGTACATCCTTCTTCTAAAGCTAGGTATCTGCAGATATCTCTGCTACCTATCACTAGAGCATTGATGGTGATGCACTATCCTTTGTTAATGCTGTCTTTTTTGTATTTCTCTTCAGTTTGAACTAAGTTACAGTGCAGATTTTTTTTTGGGGGGGGAGGGGGAATTTTGTTTGAGATGAACTTGGTACAAGTTGATCAGTGGGCTGGAGCACCTCGCCTCTGAAAACAGGCTGAGACAGTTGGGGTGGTTCAGTCTGGAGAAGAGAAGGCTCTAGGTAGACCTTATAGCAGCCTTCCAGTACCTGAAAGGACCTACAAGCAAGCTGGAGAGGGACTGTTTACATGGGCATGGAGTGATTGGGCAAGGGTAATGGCTTTAAACTGGAGGAGGGGAGATTTAGATTAGATATGAGAAAGAAATTCTCTACTATGAGGGTGGTGAGGCACTGGCACCGGTTGCCCAGAGAAGCTGTGGGTGCTCCCTCCCCGGAAGTGTTCAAGGCCAGGTTGGATGGGGCTTTGGGCAACCTGGGCTAGCGGAGGGTGTCCCTGCCCATGGCAGGGGGGTTGTAAATAGATGGCCTTTAAGGTCCCTTCCAACCCAAACCATTCTATGATTCTAAGCTTGCGGTACTCTGCTTCTAGTGAAAGAGAGTGGTAACTGGGATATCTAAATATTCAGGACTGTAATATGAACAGTGCTGCAGTATCATTATGTGCAGTTGATGGGTTTGGATGGAGAGATTTGAACCTATTTGTCCTATGAAGAGAAAAAGGACACTTTTGAGGAGTTTTCAAGATATAAATTAATCTTCAAAAGTAATGTTGGACATAGTAACATTAACTTAAACAATGAAATACTAGCATAAAACAAATAGAGGGCTTCTGTGCAAGCAGGGAAAAAAGGACATCATTTCCTCCTGAGAACGCAAAATAAAGCCAAGGCTTTTTTATCATTGGCCTTATTCATAAATGCTGCATAGAGTAGATGAAGTTAGTGAAGAAAGAGAGAATGAACAAAAGCAGGGCTTTTGAGATATGAGATTTTGGTCACTGGGTGAGGAAATGCAAGTAAATTTTAGGTTTAAAAGACCCAACAAGATTCAGAGATAAAGGAGAAGAATTTAAAGGAATAAAAAGTATATGAAAGTTTTAAATCAACTGTTTTGAAGCATCACTTTTTTAACTTCTTTTTATCTTAATTTGTTCAAAGGGTCTCCCTGGTCCAATAGGCCCAATGGGTCCAGCAGGTCCCACTGGTGAAAAGGTAAACAGATTTTTATGCCATTCTCTACTGAAGCTTCTTAATATTGTCATATTTTATTGGCATTTTCACTACTTGTCTAATAAGTTACTTGGGAAATAACCTTTCATTTTATTTTAAGGGTGAACCAGGTCCTCGAGGTCTAGTTGGTCCTCCTGGCTCCCGTGGAAACCCTGTAAGTAAACGTGTTTGGTTTTTGCCTGGCGTAAGTTAACAATATCTAACACTGATCCAAATTCCAGGTTTTGTCTCATTTCCTGTTGTATCTTCCTCTTTTTCTTTCCCTTTCTTTGTAGCCAAAGTCTCTAGTTCCTGTCTTGATGCTGTGCACTTAGAAAACTATTGGCAGATTTTGTTCCTCCATCCTACATTTGTTTTAGGGCACTCTTTACCTTGAGTTACCCTCATTTACCTCACTCCTGAAAGTATGCCACCACTTTTAAATGTTTAAATCTTTTAAAAAGCATCCTCATACCAGATACTACTGTACGCATACAAATATTTAGATGGACAAAGCACAGAAGTGTATCTTAGTTTTCAGCTAATTATGCTAAGTCTTGTCATCTTCCATCTATTTGCAATTTTAAGGGTTGACTTTGATTAGGGAGTTAGAGGCTCTGCCCTTCTAGATCCTTCATACTGCTTGGAATTGATTATGTCTCTGCCATAAATCAGAACAGCCTTATTTCCATTGTAAATTGGAATAGCTTCCACCCCCTCTGGGGAGTGCTGGAGCTTGGCAGCCTTCAGCTCCTTCTTTTCCAAACAAACATTGTGTGGAAATCTTAGCTGAAGCAGCTCATAGCCCATTCGGACCTTGTAGAAGAATACATCTTTGAACTATTGTTTGTTTTCCCATCCTATCTGATTGGAATACTAGGTTGCATAAAGCGTGTGCACTTTGGCTAATCCTGCCATCGCTGGAAGTGATTGTGAGCAGAATTTCTCCTGTTGTGGTTTTAGCACTTGCACATGCCTTCCATCTGAAAATCTGAAAGTTTACATACGGTCTTGAACACATGGCAGATCTTAACATCATAGTTAACATCATTTGTTTTGTGATTAAAAGATCATTTGATTCTGATTAATAGAGCAAAAGTATAATCACAGTTATGACAGTAAATAGTTAACATTGTTCCTTGTATATTTAACTGTAAATTATACTGTATATAGAAAGACTTTATGTTAAATACAGTTATTCTAAATTTTTTGACCAGGGTTCCCGAGGAGAAAATGGCCCAACTGGCGCTGTTGGTTTTGCTGGTCCTCCGGTATGTGTTTTGTAACACTAATGAGTTTCCTTTAGTCATGCTTTGACATACTTAGTTTCCTTCATTATGAATAATACTGCAGTGTTCTGGAACATGAGTCACATTTTTGTTGCAAAAAGAGCTGTTTCATTTTCCCATCAGAATATTAAGTAAAGAAAAGGGCCAATAAATACCCTAGACACTGATAAGATTATGTAATTGTTCACCATATTTCATATTTTCATGAATATAATATGTTGCTCCTTTGAGATTAAAACGAGGCAAGTTATAAAGTGTCCTCTACTGAAGGTAGCAAAGATTTGCTCTGTCAGTAGTGAAAGCTGGAATGCATTGATGGACTGAATGGAAGGTTTGTGAGTTTTCTGATAAATATCCCAAACTTTCCCACAGCCTAAATACTGCATTTCAGGCCTTTCACAAAGAGTCAGGCACCTGCTTCCCTTGGTGGAAAAAAAAAGGACTAGAAAAGACAATGTTTGTTCAGTCCCTTTTGCTTTGAGGTGTATAATAGCTGCTGAGGAAAATAGAAAATGTAAAGGAAAGAAAAACGTGAGTTAAGTAAGAAAATATTTTAAATGGAAATTCTGGCTTCATAGACTTCAGAAAATCCCATCTGTGATCTGCCAAAGACTGTGCTGAACTGTTAAAATTATCTTGAACTGAACCATTAAGAAAATGCACTATTTTCTGGGCTGATTTGTTCTCCTGTTATTTTTTGCCTTCTAGAAATTCCCTACAAAATTACTTTTTTAGGCTGGAAAGATTTTATATTCTCTGACCTGATGTCTCTTCTAAATATTATTTCTTATAGGGCCCTGATGGTCAGCCAGGTGTGAAAGGTGAACCTGGAGAACCTGGACAGAAAGGAGATGCTGGATCTCCAGGACCACAGGGTCTTGCTGGGTCTCCTGGTCCACCGGTAAGTATAAATAACATTGTCAGAAAACCAGTTGCATGGGCTGATCTTGTTTATTTAAAATGTCCTAGGTGTTCACTATCACCCCTCTCTTTCTCTGTTTCTCTTAGGGCCCTCCAGGTGTTCCTGGTCTGAAAGGTGGTAGAGGAACTCAAGGTCCACCTGTAAGTAGATTTTATTTTTTGTGACCTGACTGCAGATAATCTCATACTGAAATTGTATGTAACATGTCTCATTCCTCATCCTAGCTTATTTTTCCACAGTCTGTAATTACAACATGTGCTCACTAATTCAGCTGAGAACATTTGAGGTAACTAGTGCTGTATTTCTTTCAATAAAGTTGGCATTAAAATGTTTGTAGGGTGCTACTGGATTCCCGGGATCTGCTGGAAGAGTTGGACCTCCAGGACCTACTGTAAGTCAATTGTCATATTTCTAATAGATGTGTTTTACACACTGGTCGTTTAAAACCTGAAGATGAAATAAAGCAGGAAAGATTAAGCGGTATTTATAGCCTGATGCTATGGAAAAGAACAGCTTGTCAGCACTGACTTCTGCGACTGTACGCTTACATCCAACTTCATTAAATAAAACTCATTAGTCTTGGGCTTGACCCAGTGCCAACGTGTCCAAATTAGAGCAAGACTTTTCACTGACTTAAGTAGGCTTTGAGCTGTTCAATCTGCTCTGATGACTTAGTTTCTTACAGGAACAAACCAACCACCTATATCTTCCTGTACTTTTTACTTTTTTGTCTCTTCACTGGTGACTGAAGTTAGGAGAGTTTTTGGAAAAGGAAGAGGCCTCTGCTAGGTTATCTCATCAGTGGAGTTACTCATAAGATCCATTAAAATAAATTTAAAAACAAACAAACAAAGCCACAGAATCTCTCATGTCTAAACATTTTCAGAAACAGAAAATCAACTGTGGATCAGCAAGTAAGGTTTCAACTCCACACAGAGGACTGTGACATGTTTTGATGAGAAAAATAACTTGCAATCGTTGTAAGTTTATGAAAAGGTGTAGTGTGTGGAATACACAATGTAAACGTGAAATCTTTTTAAAGTATTTGAGAAATGAACAAAGGTCCATTAAAATACTAATTTGTACCATGTGAATGAAAAGTTTGAATATGGACTTTCGCTTGATGGTATTGGAAAGAATGGGCAAGAGTGAGTGAGGTAAAAAAAAAAAGAAGAAAGAAAACAATGGGGGGCGGGGGGAAAGACTGTCTTTTAAAGGAAGGAGTTTGGAATTGCAAATTGGGGGTAGGATGGTTGTGGTTTAACCCCAGCCGGTAACTGATTACCATGCAGCCATTCACTCACCGTCCCCCACTCCCCCACCCCAAGGGGATGGGGAGGAGAATGGAAAAAAACCCTCATGGTTTGAGATAAAGACAGTTTAATAGGATAACAAAGGAAGAGAATACTAATAGTAATACAAGTGATGCACAAATGCAATTGCTCAACACATGCGAAAGGAAAAGAAAACAATCTGATGCCCAGTCTGTTTCCAAGCAGCAGCCTCCAGGCTGGCTTACCCAGTTCTATAGGGAGCATGACGTTCTCTGGCAGGGAATATCCCCTTGGCCAGTCGGGGTCAGCTGTCCTGGCTGTGGTCTCCCAGCTTCTGTGCACCTGGCTGGGCATGAGAGGTTGAAAAATCCTTGACTTACTGTAGGCACCACAACTACCCAGTGACAACTCAAAACATCAGTGTGTTATCAATATTATTCTCATACTAAATCCAAAATGCAGCACTATATGGCTACTAGAAAGAAAATTACCTCTATCTCAGCCAAAACCAGGACAGAGGGAGGGTGTGGACCTTGGACATAATTTGATGAGATGTTTATTTCATCTCATTTATTGGATCATAAATGAGACGGTAATAGCTCTTAGCTCATTCACACTTTGGGCCTTCCTTAGAGTATGCATATTTATAGTTAATCAAAACACAGTCCTTAAAATTTATTTGTCCTGATCAGAAAAGGGTCCAATGTAACGAGGTGTTTTAATCTTCTTAGGGAGCTCCAGGGCCTGCTGGGCCTATTGGTGAACCAGGAAAAGAAGGTCCCCCAGGTCTTCGTGGAGATCCTGGTTCTCATGGCCGTGTGGGAGATCGAGGGCCAGCTGGGCCCCCTGGGGGTCCTGGAGACAAGGGTGACGCAGGGGAAGATGGGCAGCCGGTATGTCCTGGTTGATGTTATTAATTCTCCCTAGACCAACTCTAGGCTTGGTCTCATTGTCACTTACACTTATTGCTACTGTGATGATAGTAACATTGTTTTATCCTTTATGGATTTCAGGGCCCAGATGGTCCTCCTGGTCCAGCAGGAACTACTGGTCAAAGAGGCATTGTTGGTATGCCAGGACAGAGAGGGGAAAGAGGCATGCCAGGGTTGCCAGGTCCTGCAGTAAGTAATGATCAAATCAATATACCACCAGCTTGGGCGTTCTCATTGTTTTTGTGGGATTGAGAGCATAGTGCCCCATAACACAAGGACAAAGTTGGAAAACTCCAATTGCAGGAGAAAATATATAGAGAGTAGTCAGTAACTACCTCTCATGGAAATGCGTGAGGTGGGAGATTTTTTCTGCCATAATGGAAGATCTGAACCTGAATTAAGAATAAATGGGTAATGGCATTAAGATTTCTGGTTAAAATGTTCCTATTTGACTTAAAACTAGGTCCTTAAAAAAAACAACCCCGGACTCTTCATTTAGGTACCCAAAGGTCACTTGAATGTGAGTAAATACTCTGTAACTGCTATTTCATAAATTGTGAACTACAATCTTCAGAATTGCCATTTGTGCTCTCTTTGCTTTCATGTAGGATTTATAGATACTTATTGGAAAGCCTAATGATCCAGGAGATCAAGTCATTAAATAAAGTATTAGTAAAAGGTGTGGTATGGAGGATCTGCCATTACCACTGGATCCGTAAAATCAATTTATAGTTAAAGTTGGCCAGAAATTATTCCAAGTGAACAAGATTTGTTGCTGTTAAAACAGAGAAAAATAAAATCATGTTACTTACTTCAAACTACCTTACATTTTTCCAGAGTCAAAAACACCTTACCTGTTGCAGATAATGCCGTCAGACATACTGATGTATCAAGGGAGTGTGTCCTTAAAAGACTTGCTACTAGACAGACTTCAAGTGCAACTTCTAGTCAATAAAAGCCTATTCAAAAGCGACTAACACAATTAAATTGCTTATAAATACACAGTATATTAAATATATATTCAAAATCTATCAGAACTCTTTCTGTAATTATCCGTTTTTGGAAGTTACAAATGTTGATGGTACTTCAGACTGGATTAATGAGTAGTGTTTTGCAGGCAGCAGGTTTTTTGTGCTTTCTTTGTTTTGTGATTAAAATATTGATATGATATTTCTCATCTTTTTTAGGGTACACCAGGAAAACAAGGTCCCACGGGGCCACCTGGTGATAAAGGTCCCCCAGGACCTATTGGCCAGTCAGGTGCCACTGGACCTGTAGGTGAAGCTGGTCCAGAAGTAAGTATTAGAGCCTCATAATATGCAAAAAAAAGACAGTCTAGTGGTTATTCTCCTTGACTTTGAAGTTGGGGGTGGAGAACAACTTTCTAGTTCTTCTTACAGAAATGCAAGATTACAGAGCTTATCAATAACCCTGTTTTTATTCCATAACTCAGGGACCTGCTGGTAATGATGGTACTCCTGGACGAGATGGAGCTGTTGGAGAACGTGTAAGAATATATTGTTTTCTTAAGTCACTTCTGGATATCTCCATTTTATTATGGACTTATTGTAGCTTTTCTCTTCATTCAGTTAACATGAACGGAGAACTTGTTCTGAAAGCATGTCACAGCTTTGAATAAGTAATACCTCTCAAAATTGAGGAAACCTGGCTAAAGTCTAAGAGCACCTGCCTTTACGAACTCAGACTTGAGTTCTTACAGGAGAGGAGAAGTATCTTTGTAGATTGTAATTGCTAGAAAATAGATTAGCAATGCTAGAGTCCTGTTGCTTTGGTCTAGTCCAGTCCTCTTTAGATAAATAATGTTGAAATTATGTTTTGCAGGGTGACCGTGGTGAGCCTGGCCCTGCAGGCTTACCAGGTTCCCCAGGGGGTCCCGGAACTCCAGGTCCTGTTGGGCCTCCAGGAGATGCAGGTCAAAGAGGTGAAACTGTAAGTGAGACCTTTTTTTTTTGTTTTTTTTTTTAATACTTGGTTTATCAAAAAGCTGTTGTGTGTGCTTTTGTGCATTGCTTCACATATCTTCTGTATGCAATCTTTGTAGGGTTCTCGAGGTCCAATGGGTCCCCCAGGTCGTGCAGGAAAAAGAGGTTTACCTGTAAGTTCTCCATGGTCACTCTGGTTTTATCTGAGATACTTTTATAGGACAGTGTATGAGAAACTGAGCCCACATTAGAATACTGAACAGGGCTTTGACTTGTAGTGTTCTGACTGCAAGTGGATGCAGGTAGTCTGAGCTGCAAAGCTGCACAAATCTGTTTGAATACACTAGTATTTCTACACTTTCTTTAAATATACTTTGCAGAGAAATAACAAATGCTTTGGAAGCCTCTTTATTTGGAGTGTGTCGCTGTCCCCGCGACAGTAGGACCTGAGTTAACAAAGGGCTGGAGTCTGTGTTTGACAATTCAAATAAGGGGCAAAGAAATGAATGCTGAACAAAAAATGCAGGTTTTTATATAAAAATGGCAGAAATATAACAAAATCACCTGTTCCTGTGAAACTGCCTTAATTCAACTCATGAGATTCTGACTTCAGTCCAAATGGAAAAACAAACAAACCCCATCTATTTGTTACATAACTCTTTTATAATCCAAGCTTGGAACAAAAAATTAATTGCAAACTTGGGAAATTCAAAAGAATGTTGTCCTGTCCCTGAGTAGATGTCATATGAGAGACAGGAAAAGTTTATTGAGTAGTTAGTGATAATGATGCCATTGATAAACTATTTCAATCTAGCATTGAGAAATTTAGCATGCAATTTGGGCTGAAAACTATAGAATTGAAAGCAGAAGCCATTTTTTTCCAATGATTCTTGAATTGGTATGAAAAGTTTGAAACTATCAAAAATACCAAGAATGAAATTATGACAGTAATAGAACCAAGCTATTTGTACTGGGGAGCCTGAATGTTGAGCCTGAATGTTGTTGTCTGTAATGAGGGAATGGAATTTCAGTTGTACTTTAATCATAGTGAAGGTGAAAGGAGCTGTGAGAAGTAAAGATGCAGCATGGAGTATTTCATACTGAAAGTACGTTTTATCGTTATAAGTGTGTGAGAGCGCCACAATATTTCAATCTCATCTGTGAAAATCATTTGCCATATCCAGTAAGGCAAAGAAATTTCTCAATCTTAAAAATTTTGTTATGCAAATTATTTAGTATCATTATCACAGAGGGTTTGTGTGACTGTATTATGAACCTAATAGACTCAATTTACCACTACTATAATTTAACACAACACAGTTTTCTGTAATTATTTACCTATTCTTTGGTGAAAAAATTAAGATTCTTGGAGCTGCCCCAGCATCACCTTCTTTCCAGCTTAGAAGTGAGGGAGGTCTGAATGCAGCATCTAAAAGCAAATGCGGGGGTTTTGAGGTTGAGGGTATATTTTTTCCCCAGTTCAGAATTTTACATTTCATCACTGATATTTACAGGGTCCCCAAGGACCTCGTGGTGACAAAGGTGACAATGGAGATCGAGGCGATAGGGGCCAGAAAGGACACAGGGGTTTCACTGGGCTTCAAGGTCTTCCTGGTCCTCCTGTAAGTAGTTCTGGTTTTAATATAATGTTATTTCCTTGATAGTTAAATAATGTATCGGGAACATTGCTTGCTTTTTTTTTTCCCCCCCCCTGTTTTAAATAACTAACATGAGTTACTTTTTCCCACAAGATGTTTGTGAGTAGCCTGGCTGTCTGTACTTGCTAAGATTTTTAATGCAATTTTTCAGTACTATTGCATGATGAGGTAAACCTGTGCTTTGCAAGATACGTGTTCTCTTACTCTTTCTCCATTTATGCCAGTCCTGCAGTGACTGATTACTGACAGTCTATGACCTGTCAGCACAAGATGATAACAAAAGTTGATAACTTCAGATAAGCATGGTAAAGTGTAAAATGCTTTTTGCCAGTGTTTCAACAGTCATGGAATAAAATGCAAAATCCCATGAGGACTGTGATAGTATCTCTCACTAATATTTGCAAGAACTTCATGATTTCAGTGGTAATTGAATGGAAATGCCATGGAAAACTTAATTTTTTACATTTATTCACTGATCCTATGCAAGAGCTGGAAGTTCCAGCATGCAGGAAAAGAGTCCACAAAAAAACCCAACACCCAAATCATCTTTCCACTTCATACTAGTGTTGTCAGTTATTCTTTTGTAATCCAGTCTGATTCTAAATGTCATGAAAGCAAGGCTTTTCTGCAGAAACAACTTTATGTATAGACAAGCACCAGTACATTCTATTAATCTAAATTGTGATTACAGTTGTTACTCTGTGTTTGTGACAAAAGAGAACAATAGAATGAACGTGAATTGTAAGAGGGAAAGGTATTACCCATTGTTCATGTATATTATAATCCTATTCATACAGAATTGTGTATATCACACACTAATTCTTTAAAACTAAAGGAATATGCTTTAAATATCACAATGATATGATAATTTCTTCCGTTTAGGGTCCTATTGGTGAACAGGGCAGTCCTGGCATTCCAGGCCCATTTGGTCCTCGGGTGAGTATAATGATTCAGGTTTAAGGATTTTCTTGCTTGGTTTTTTTCCACAATCAGGTTTCTATTTCTGCTTCACTTATTGACTTCAGTATCATGTGGTGATTACCCTACTATTTTTTGCTGAGCAACATTACCTTATTTAATATAGCAAAGCTTTGACATAAATGTAGTTTATAACTAGGTAAAAAGGTCAGTTCACAATAACTACAGAGCTACCGTCTCTTTTTGCAGACACTTTTGCTGCAGCTGATGCAAAGCCATATATGTGGCAGCTCTGCTAATTGCTACTCTGCCTTTCATACCCCCATGTATGTCATTCACAAAGTAAAAGAGAAATACAACTCCCTTGGATGTTCCCAAGTGGCAGTATATCTCTGAATCTGTATACGTGTGGGTGTACAGCAGCTACTGCAGTCTGTGTAGCACCTGGAATTGAACCCACTTAAATGATTTAGGAAAAAATACACAGTTGATCTAAGGTATATTGACTTTAGAAGAACAGCACTGAAACTGTCTTCTTACTTTTAGAGAACAAGAAAAAGGGTGATTTTTAAAAGTTTGGTAATAGACACAAATAATTGGACTGCTTTCTGAAAAGATACTGCTTGTACAGGGCTGTTTTGTACAACTTTGTTATTAAATGCTAAAATACATTCCTTCTTTCTTTTATATTTTCTAGGGTCCTCCAGGTCCAGTTGGTCCTTCCGGCAAAGATGGAAGTCCTGGTCCACTTGGGCCAATTGGGCCTCCTGGTGTTAGAGGGAGTGTGGGAGAAGCCGGACCTGAGGTAAGTTGGTGAATATGAAGGGAGTAGGTTAGCTCAGATAATGACTTTTTTTTACAGTCCATTGCATCACTTTCTCAAACATCTTGAACCTGAGTTCAAGACAAATGGTAAGATTTGATACAGTTTCTCCAACAAATAGCCAGAGTAACTGTGTATTGAAAGGACTCATTTCTTACTCGTTTTCATCTTCTGGACCTGTGATGATCCCAGCCTCATCCACCTATGCTCTCCTTAGGCCAACCTAGGCCTTCTTCTGCAGTTAGGCCGCTGGATCCTGCTGGGTCTGCAGTTCAACATGGCTATTTGGCAAGTTGAAAACCTCAGACCTAAGCTTAGGTCAGTTGGTGTCTCTGGAACCAGCCGTAGTTCCAAGTCAGTAGCCCCACAAAGGTGGCACTGAATTAGAACAGCCATGTGACTGATTTCCAGCAGCATACTCCATTATGTCTTGCGTTAAGGAAATCTTTTGGTCCAAATGAACAGCGCAGATGTTAACACTCAGCTCAGCTGACCTTTAGCCTGCTCTGAGGTTTACAGACATCAGCCATGAGCTGATGCACAACTAATGAAAAATAGTTTGACCATTTTGGAAAAAGTCCTAAACCTTTGCTAAATGCCCCAGGCATATTCCACATTTAGCAATTCATGAAACCCTAAGTTATAAAATGTAAGTTATGCTATCCCAAGGAAGATAAGCTAGAAAATTAGAAGGATTTGAGAGAAGGGTGGTCTGGATGATTACATGAAGACTTAAAAGACTGGTATTGCTTATTTGGGGGAAGAAGTAGAAAAGGTGGAATAAAATAATGAGCAAGACAGAGAAGGCAGTTTCTGCTGGTTTTCTGTCTTGTAAGGCATGATGTTTCTTGTGTTTATCACGTGCTAACATTCACCCTATTTCATTTGAATTTCTCCCATTATCGGTATCTTTTTCTGCTGAGGCACCCAGACTTGAATGGTGCCAGAAGACCAGTCTATGGCAGAGCATAAGAATATAATGTGTATCCCGATCCTTCATCTTTATAATGACACAGTACAAGAAATATTGCATACCAGTAACTTTGGGTTTGTTTTCCGTGGTGGCTTGCTGCAACTGTAAATTGGCACCACAAAGCAAGAAATAAAAGTTAAGATTTCATTTGTCAGATGCAGTATGTATAAGTTTGGGTGTGTGCTCTGTAGTAAACATTTGGAGCACTAGTTGTGAATTCTGGAGTAGTTACTCTCAATGGAAATGCCATGTTCTGATATACCATCTGATGCACCAGAGCATCAAACTTACAGTGGAGTTATGTTACAGACTTTCTGCTGCCGAAGAAGAGCTGGCAGAGCTTGCAGGTGGAGATATGTTTATTAACAGATATGTTCTGTCTCAAGACTCAGTTACCTCCCCAAGTGTCACAATTCAGGTTGACAGAAGGACCTCACAACCCGTCATTTAGTCAGGAAAACACCTGCTCTGCCAAGTAAGGATGATGCACGTTCTGTCTCACGTACCTGTGACCAGAAAGTTCAGCGCTGTGCAGGATAGATGTAAAGATGCTTCGACTGCCAAATTTTCGGTCCAGGCTTTACTAATTGAAAATGTGCCTGAGGAGACTCAGGGGGAAGGAGGAATTTTAGATTGCTCTAAAAATCACTTAGAGCTGTTGGGGAATTTTAAGAAATAAAGTTATTAGACAGGGATTTGAACAAGAAGGGACAAAGTGCTTAAAAAATTGAATGAGGAGGCCATTCCTTAATGACTTTTTCCAGCTGTTAAGTCTGAAATCAGGAGTAAGAATAAGTTAAGACAGGCAGAGAGGGCATGAAGCAGAGAGAATACCTCACATGCAGTTCTAGTCTCTGTTCCTAGAAACATGAATTGTTTATCTATACCTGAATTTT